TGTACATTTTAAAAGTATTATATTATGGTACATATACTCTAATATGTACGTGACACTTCCAGGGATAACGAGCGGTGAGGCCGTTCAGCTGCTGCACGCAATCAATAACACATCGTGTCACCTCTAAGTCGCACTCTGCGATATCACCTACCTGCCGTGGTGGACCAACATCACTGATGGTAACAACAAGCTGTTCGTCAGTGGCGTCCGCAATCACATAACCGACGGCTACTACAGCGTGTGCTCGCTAAGCGATGAAGTTTTCGAGCCTGTGGGAGCCGAACTTAAGATTAACGACTCAAACGGCACGGTCGTGTTAATCAACAACGGAGTAAAGGCCTTTAGCGAGGACACTCGGGCTGCCGCCGGACGGGGATAAAACCCACAATGACGGTCACAGTTACGAAGTTACCCGACCTAGTACCCTACCGCGAGCTGTGCATTCATCTCGGCCAGCTGAGCACAACTGACAACATTCAAGGTGGCCACCCTTCCACGCTGTTGAGAGCCGTACCGGTGAAGACGGAGAAGGACAATGACGGCAGAACCGAGTCGTTTTCACCGCGGCAGTACAAGAGGTTAACTCGGGGCACTATCCCGGAGTTGGTAATATCAGTGTTAGATATAAAGCATAATCCTGTGAATATAGGATACCTCAGCATAACGCTGCACATAAGATGACTAGCGCACAAGGACCCAGAAGGGTGAAGAGATGCGTCAATGTAGGGATCTCCGACCTCTGGGACACACGCGGGTTCGACGACCCCGGGAGTAGGGTAGACTGTACGCCTTACAGCTTATAAACAGCATTTACAAACGCGTTGAAGTCCCCTCTGGTAGAACCCTAGGTGATATAGTTGATACATCAGGAGCGGCCCTCAACACTCGGCTCGACCTAGTACACATCGGTGATGATAGATGGTCGGTATACCCATCGTTCGGCGGCAAACTGTTAGACTTAGAAGACATCGAGAGCACGACCGTTGCTTGAAACAAGCCATATACGCTCGTCTTCACCGACGACGACAAGTGGGTGTTGTTACCCTCTCGAGTGGATTGGTTTCTCAACATTAGTCTCGGCTCCCCTCTACTTGTTCATGGAGAACAAAGACAGCTACCCAAACAAAGTCATGAACAACGGAACCCTGCTCGTGGCTTACATCCCAACGCAGAGGCGTAACGTAGTCATGAGCCCACTCTCCAGTATGGCAGCCCACATGCTATTGAGTAAGCCTGGGACGCAAAACGTGACATTGCCGGTGGTGTCTGAATTCGAAGGTGTGGCCAACATCCTGGGGAGTCTACCGGCGAACTCCACGCTGGCCATCCAAATCTACCTAGGGGAACCACAGCGCGCGAAGTCAAAGTCGTGAAAGGGATCAAACTCCGGTGGGTGAAACAACACCAGTATCAGGTTTGCACTGTTAACATGTGGGTGGGTGTCGACTCCCACACCAGTCTGCAGGGGGTCACCGAGACCGTGGAAGACACGATATCACTCACCAAGATATTCCTACCCGACAACATACACCTCATGGGGGTGAAGTGCACACCTGAGAAGTTATCAGAAAAACAATTGGAAACTATCTCGTGATAGTAATATAACAATGACCAGTCATCGGCCCAACGTCACGCTTAACGACCTAGGGGACACGGAGGGATTTGATCCGCCCGGGGAGGAAGACGCCTTGTACGTCCTACACTTGAAAGACAACGTGTATAGGCGGGCGGCAATGGCCGATCATCGACCCAACATCACACTCGGGGACCTAGGAGACACAAGGTGGTTCGATCAGCCCGGCGTGGTTGACACCTCGTACGTCCTGCGCTTAAGAGGCGGCGTGTACGTGCGGGTGCCTCTGGCAGACGACTTTATTGAGCCCAAATGGTTGATCAACATGACCCTCTGCGCACCTTACGTCTCTTTTGACAAGGATGGTTATATCACTGAAATTAGGAACAATGGTATCTTGCTTGGGGCTTTCATTCCGGGGCCTGATATAAGTGCTCAGCTAACACCGGATCACACAGGTAACATGTTCGTTTCAGGTTGGAAGAACGATTTAAGGTTTGACGGCCCCGATTCCCAATTGGGTATTATGACTGTGAAACCAGGCTCCACACTCGCCATATAAGTCCATCTCGGGATAGACCCTGATAGTACAGAACTACAACTTTTACCCGGGGTGACAATACACTGGAGTTTTCTGGCCAGTGACCAACGTTACCGTATCGTAATACGACCGGACCCCTCAACGGGTTATATAGACCCCTTAGTAAGCCCCAATAGGGCTCGTGTGGACACAAAGTTACCTATTAGTCTCTCACCTATTTCCCTGCACAAGGACCTAAACCTTATAAGCCTCAAATGCATTGTACAAGGATTAAATAGCATACAATTTAAAGATATTTCATAGAATATATTATATACACAGGATGGGGTTGTACCCAGTCGTAGAGGAAGTAGCGAATACACTGGAAACCGTAGACGGGTTCCGCTTGAGGCAGTTATGTGACATAAAACGCCAATTAGAACAAGACCACGACAGACAGGCAGCGTTATGTAAAAAGTGCAATAGGGCTTTCAATGTCGTGGATGGCGTTGATACCGCTCTTATGACAACCAGCATGGGACTAGGGGCGGTGGGTGTCGGGTTGTTGACCACCGTCGTAGCCGCACCCATAGTGCTAAGGCATCGAAATAACAGCTGGGGTGTCAGGGTTGGTGGGGCTGGTGTTTAAGTTTGCATCCCGCAGACTGCATCGTAAAGCGTTGAAGCACGACGAGAAGGGTTCTGGCTGAAGCAAAGCTGAACACGGTAAGCGACCACATCTCCACCGCACTCACTGCCAGTAAAGTCTCCAAGGAGGAGTTTCGTTTGGTCCTCTCTGAACTCGACAAGTACCATAAGATGAAACAAGAAATCCGGTCCAAGTCTCGTAAGTCTGCTGCAAGTGAAGACGAGAAAAAAAGTACATGGAACAAGGGGTACAAAAAGCCCAGCAAGCCTTCATTATGAACACCAAAGAGATCATAGGCGATTCACATTAAACTGTTTCCTCGAGACATAGAGTTATCATAGTGTCACGTGATCAGGAAAGTGTTGGTTCGCGGTCATAGTGACCAAGAAGTTAACTGGGGTTCAAACCTGGTATATACAATAGCGGAGAGAGATAAGGGCCTGACAAACGCTTTATTTCATAAATGAAGCTTTACAGAGTCTTTTGTTGGACTTGATCTCATACCGCTACTGTATATACTACTAGGGGAGCTCATACAATAGTTTCAATATTTTATTGCCTACTTTTCAAAGGATTGATCTAGCTTTAGGAGCTGTATGAAACTTGAATCCATGGAAATCTGCCCAATTCCTGTCAGCACTGTATTATCCCGGCCAATACAGTCCACCACGGGTTCTGTAACTGGGTTTATTGGTGTGGGGAGAGGCCCACCGCCTGAAAATATATCAGACATTAATTATTGTAATTGTGAAAGTTTTGGCTTTTCGACTGAATTGGAATTCCTTATACTATCTAAACATACTGCAAAGGTCACACTAAACATATTACACAATTCACCCACTAAAAACATTACTATTTTCCGGGACAAATACCATGTTTACCTCATCAAGCAAGATAGAAATTTGATATTTTAGTGATTTTGCAATGCAGACGTTTCAGTGTGATATTTTATACTCAAATGTTTTCTGCTGGAACAAGTTTCAAATATATATATGACAAAGTAAATTAGATATATTATGGTGAGTAAAATTGTTAGGGTCAGAAGCAATATTTTTGGTTTGTAGGGTAATCCGAACACCAATAATTTTTTCAGGCCTTAAACCCGATATGTTACCCTTCATAGGAAACAAATTCCAAAATTTACCAGTTGCAGTTGTTGCATTCTTGAAAGTGCTGTAATTTGTTTTGCCCGCACTCTCAAGGTTTTTCCTTTTCTTGATAACCTCATCTCTGCTTCGTTGTTGCCGTTTATTTGAATTGATGGTGTCGGTGATTTTCTAAAACATAAAGTTGGATTAACATTACCTCCTTTCTTTGAAAATAACAAATTTCTAGCAACAGGAAAATTCCAGCATTTATTGGAACAACAATATTTGACATGAAATGAATCATTATGATATTGTTGATTATTTCAAACTGAAACATACAGGATGATAGGGTTTGTCTGTATCACAGTAAAATAATTGCTATTTTCACTTGTTTTAAATCTGTGCAATGGTAATGTTTATTATGTCAACAATTTCATGTTTTTTTAACCAAGGAAAAATCAGATGAGACCTAACATACATTTAGATCTATATGTTTCAATTTTTATAAAATATATTTTTACAAACACTACTCAACTGTATGAAATGGTGTCTGTGAAATTCTACTGATGAATGAGATTGAAGGTTCGTACAACTTTTTGATTGTACAATGTACCCACAATTCTTATTAGGTAATTATTAATAAATAATATTGTCTTCGGACCAAGCCTAATTCAACGTTCTTATTCACCTTCATGATTGAATGCAATCACTTGCTGTCTGTTTGCCGAAGTCAAACCAGGCACGAATTTTCCCCCTATCAAAGTCTTCCTTTGCTTCACAAGTCCTGCATTATTGGACCAAGTTTCTGCCATTTTGGTAATTTTCTAGGAGCATTAAAGAGTTCCACCGGAAGTTTTCCGTTGCTGATATTTTCCAATTAGCAAGGATGCGCACGTGGCTATGAACTTAAGTTTCTGATCGACTTAACCTCCGACTAAGCTAAGTGTTTGACTCAGTCACTTTATGAATCCGAACTTAAGGTTCTGACTTAGCTAACTCAGTTTTCATAAACTTAAGACAAAAACTTAAGAAAAACCTTAGACGTTTTAGAATACCACCCCAGGACTATAATAAGAATAAGCAATTAACTGTGCATTCTTGAAAGTGTTTAAGTGTTCAATTCTACGCTTCTAAGCAAAGTAAGACCTTCAAAACAGAAGCACATTCAGTATGTGTCAATATACCAACACAGGTTACGATCATGTAAAGCCCGCCTTTGTTTCAAAACTTGATTTAACAGTTGGTGTATCAATTTTAGTTTTACTTGAGGATTAGATTAATGTTTCTAACAATGATTTTCAGACATGTCGGGGAATCAAAGGGAGACAGAATCTGAATGTCCTGACAGGGGAAGGGAGACAGATGGTGATGAAACTTTCACAATGAACAACTTGGCATCATCAGAAGTAGCACAACCTGGTAATGAGAATGATGTGGATGTCGTTCGCCAAGGAACACATGGTGATGGGACATTCTCCATGGACATGATAGCATCATCAGAAGTAGCACAAACTGGTAATGACAGTGATGTTAGTGTCGTTCCCCAAGGAACACAAGGTGATAGGACATTCTCCATGGACATGGTAGCATCATCAGAAGTAGCACAAGCTGGTAATGACAGTGATGTGGATGTCGTTCCACAAAGGGAGACATGGTGATGGGACATTCTCTATGGACATGGTAGCATCATCAGAAGCGGCTGAGCGTCAGGTCAGTCCGGGAAATGGAGTCACGGTTGTTTATGAGAGACAAGCAATGTCTACTAGAATCACTGCAGGTGAGTAGAATGTTTATTACAAACAAAATATTCACCTCTTTAAATAAAAGTTAACACCAATGATGTGTGTTTTCTAAACACATTGTTAGAGCAACCACCAGGAGAGCGGAAGGTCGCGGGTTCGATTCCCGGCCACGTCACACCAAAAAATCCGTTAAAATATGGTACTTGTTGGTCCCTGTCTGGCCCTCGGCATTGATGGGTACAACAAGGACTGGTCGGTTCGGAGTCAGTATAATGTGTCTGAGTGGGGTATTCATGCTTCACTGCAGCATGGTATCTCAGTGGGTTAGCACTATAAAACCAGCTTCAGTCTGGGCTAGTACAAGCAGCTGCAAATACACACACATTCACGTTGTCATGTAAAACTACGATGTTTTTTTTCAGGCGCACATTTTCATAAGGTTCGAAAAGTGAGCGATGTGCGAGAATTGCGCTCCCGTGGTCCTGGATCTACGTACGGCTATAAAATTAGACAGAAATGTAGAATATTTAATTTCCTATCCGTTGGTATAAATATAAGTGCAACTACCTCGGCAGTTTGAGAAACAGACACTTATAAATGTTGTCCAAATGTTTGTTATGCGTTTAAAAACAGTGAATCTCTCCGCCTTTTATCGCGCACTGATAAAAGCACTGTGCTACGAATGTTTTAAATTGGCATCTTTTCGGAAAGTGTGAGCGAAGAAAATACAGCCTGAAATCTGAACGACATACTTGTATATGAATTTGGTATATGTGCTTATGCATAACGTTATACGCTCAACATTAAAAATGACTCGCAATAAATGTCAAAAATGGATTTTCTTCTATGACGTCAAACAACGACAGAGAGGCCATACACGTATAATGATAAGGGGGCATAACTCTTTTATGCTTAGCACTAGGTCAATGTAACTCCGATCACATGGGGGACCGCCTCCGTGGTGTAGTAGTTAGAGCGTTCGCCCGGAGAGCGGAAGGTCGCGGGTTCGATCCCCGACCGCGTCATTCCAAAAGACGTTAAAATATGGTACTCAATGGTCCCTGTCTTGCGCTCGGCATTAATGGGTACAACAAGGACTGGTCGGCTCGAAGTCAGTATAATGTGTCTGAGGGGGGTATTCATGCTTCACTGCGGCATGGTATCTCAGTGGGCTAGCACTATAAAGCCAGCTTCAGTCAGGGCTAGTACAAGCAACCGCACCTACACATACACACGCATGCACGTCGTCATAGAAGTGAAATACAGTCAAATCCCGATGAGTCGAATCGCTGGGGACCAAGTAATACATTCGACTTATCGATGCATTCGAGACATAGGTATGTCTCTGAGGGTAGAATAAAACATGATCCAGTCCTAATTCCTCCGCCTAAGCATTTGTTTACCTAATGATTTCCCTATCACTAATAGGGGCATCTTATCAGTTCCAGTCTGATTATCACAGACAGTGATTTCCGTAAAATCACTAATCTGCCTTTTGAACTCACCCGTGAAAAGGTGGCGGAAAGGTGTGAGCCGCGCTGGTTTGTTAATTTTGATCAGTTTGCTACACCAATCAACTTCTCATTGACTGACTTCGGCTTATGTATACAAGATTGCTGTTGTTTGAATCTCATGGGATCAAATTTCCTTCTCCTGTCATCGTGTGTATTTATGAGACGAATTCGTGTAACCGATATTCAAATGATGACAACTATAACAGGGAATGGTCGGGACCGACAGGTACTTCGAGTTATGCATAATATTCGAGACACCGGCATTCGGCTCATCGGGATTTGACTGTATTCTCCAGCGCGGCATTAAACCCAATTTCACCTCGCCTCACTACAACTTCTACCACTTAGACTACCACTACGGCCACCACTAAGACCACCACGACTTCTACCACGACTACCAAAGACCACCCCGCGGACAACCACTACAACTACCACTGCGGCTACTATTACTATGATGACGACCACCAGCCAACACCACCACCACTACTGCTGCCACTGCTGCTGATACTGATGCAACTTCTACTGCTACAGCTACTGCTGTTGCTGCTGCTGGTCTACTACTCTTAAGGCTACTACGTCTACTACAGTTACTGTTACTACCATTATAGGCACCCCTTGAAGAGCAACCTCCTCGTGGTGGGTGCTGGGTAACGCCAATGGCTCTTCGCCCCCGTGTGGACCCGGGGTCGAATAGGTCCAAAGCACCCCATTGCTGGTTGTAAGAGGCGACCAAATTGGGCAACCCGTTTGCCGTGGGTTGCATCCCTGTGTCGGCAGAGGAAGGGAGTCTGGTGGTTGAGGATGACGGAACCGGCAATAGTGTTCAATAATCCAACACACCACTTCGACCCTAACTTTGGCTAGACGGGTGGTAGAACAGGCCCAATTCTACCAATCGGCTGGTCACGCCTTGCCCTGTGCATGGAATGTCTATACAAAACGTGGTATCACATAACACTTTTGACCATGTTCAAAATGTTAACAAATATTCCACCAAAACAAACTAGCCTCGCAGACCCATGCACAGAAGGCGGTGGCTCATGGGCCAATCTGGTGATGCTGACCTCCGATTTCTGTACGTCTCCAATTGATAGTCATGGACAGAACCATCCTGACCTTTAATCTGGTAGGCAGCTACAGCATTTCATGTCAAATTCGCTGGAGTATAACACCCCTTATCCCTGGTCTTTGCAGCTTGGAGACCCGCTGCAGTATAAGATCGTCCTTGTTGACACTCCACGGTGGGTGGGGAGAGGGATGCTGAACCACATTACTAAACGACATGGCTTCTCAATACCCCGGTTCAAAACGAAGACACATGGATGATGACAATTCCTCGTCTGACGAGAGTACGCCCCTCCGACCTGACTACTGGCCACGTTTCCTGATCATTGAGGCTTGTGACAAGCAACCTTTGCAATTGAACCCTTTTGCAATCTCCAAAGGTATCGCTGGTATCTGCGGAGAGGTTGCCAATGTTAGAAAGCTCCGATCTGGCTCTCTCCTGATAGAATGCACCCGGAAACACCAATCCTTGAATCTCCTCAAAATAAAAGAATTTGTCCACATCAAGGTCGCTGTCTCAGCACACAAAACCCTTAACTCCTGTAGAGGCATTGTACGGGACAGAGCTCGATGCCTGTCTGACATGACTGAAGAACAAACTCTCTCAGCAATCCGTCACAGCCGTCAAACGATTCACCTTCAAAAAGGATGGTGTTGTTCAACCAACGAACACCTATCTCTTCACATTCGCGCGAGCAAACATCCCTCACTCGATTAAAGCTGGTTATTGTAGCATTGGTGTGGAGGTGTATGTCCCCAATCCACTCCGGTGCTACAACTGCCAAAAGTTTGGACATGGATCCCAGTCCTGTCGTTCCTCTGCTGTCTGTTACCGCTGTGGTGACAAGCATGAGGGCAACGACTGTACTAAGGAAGTGAAGTGCACAAACTGCGGTGGTAACCATATGGCCTCTTCCAAGTTCTGTCCAGTATGGAAACGTGAATCTGAGATACTAAAGATCAAGCACAAAGAAAATATCTCCTTTCACGAAGCAAAGAAGAGGGTTGCAACTACAGCCCCTTCAGCCATCACCTACTCTTCTGCTGTCTCCCGTCCTACTATCACTACTGCAACCATCTCATGTCAGACCGACCTGACATGGATCATGTCTTCTCAGCCAACTGAACTCAACACAACTGAGCCCATCTCAGCAACTCCATCTCCCACGCCCAAAGTCAAAACCTCTGAATCACAAACACCAGAGCAAATGCCAAAACCAGAGACAGAAACTTGGCGCAGACAAAAGGGAAAAAAAGAGGCTAGAGAGACTAAAGCAACTCGAACAACCGCCAAACACAAAACCAAAGGCCACCTCTCCCTCAGAGGTCCCCATCGAGGTCCATAACTCCTTTGGCCCTCTGGATATGGAGGTAACTCCATCTCCACCAGACACCAATAGGAGTTCATCATGTCACCAGTGGAAGCACCATGAATCCACAAAACATTATCCAATGGAATTGCAGAGGACTTAAGAATAATTATAATGAATAACAGTTATTGATTCAAGACTTCAAACCATCTGCGTTTTGTCTCCAAGAAACCTACCTAAAAAGGACCGATAAATTTGACATCCGTCGGTACAGTTCCTACCACTCCTTTTCTCCTCCCGGTGTAAAAGCTACAGGAGGCACTTCTATCCTGGTGCGGCAGGGCATCCTCCATAGCCCTGTTCCACTTAACAGCAACCTACAAACTGTTGCTGTCCGCATAACTCTGAATAGGGTTTACACTATGTTCCCTCTATCTCCCTCCCACCTCAACTGTCCGCCTATCAGATCTTCAGAACTTATAATGATCAACTCCCAAAGCCCTGCATAATCATGGGCTTAACTTCAACGGCCATAACCCCTTATGGGGGAGTAATGATACAAATAGTAAGGGAAAGATCCTTGAAGAGTTTCTCTCCAATAATGACGTATGCATCTTCAACGATGGATCAAACACCTACCTCCATCCTGCCACTGGATCATACTCTGCTCTCGATCTATCACTTACAGATTCTAATCTTTTAAATGAGTTCGAATGGTCGGTCCATGACGACCTTTGTGGAAGCGACCACTTCCCAACAATTCTTACTCCTATCAACCCCACGGATGAAGCACCATCAACAAGATGGAACTTTACTAAGGCCAACTGGCCTTTATTCCAAACCCTATGTTCAGAAAAACTTAAGCCGGACAACATCAGGAATGTTCCTGACCCCATGGAACTATTTTCAGACGCCCTAAATGCCATCGGAGACAAAAGTATTCCTAAGTCCTCTGCAAACCCCAAGACATACGCAAAACCATGGTTTGATACAAACTGCAAACAAGCTAGGAAAAATAGGAAGAAGGCGGAAAATATTTCTGACAACATCCTACAGTGCATAACCTGAATGCTGTTAAATGACAAATGCCAGGGCAAAACGTACCTTCAAACAAACTAAACGCCATGGAGGAAATATGTGTCCAAA